GGCCGGGGGCACCGTAACTGTGCTTCCTCTGGAAGTCGCCCTCCTCGGGCGAAGCGGCCCCGCACTGCTGAAGCCATGCTGCCTGCGGCTGGGGCCTTAAACTGCCCGGAGCGGGAGGAGCAGGAGCAGCCTCCAGGCTGTGTTTTGACGTAGGGCATTGATGTGTCCGGCAGCTCACAGCTCTCTGCCTGTCGCTGTAAAGTAAACGTGAGTTTTCACAGTGTTCAACAGATGCAAGCCTGCCGGCTCGGTAACAAATGCCACTGCGCACGTATTTTCGGTTAGGATGTAAAAATCGGAGACAAAAGCAGAACATGAGATTATTTTAGGTGGGCTAGTTAAACAATGAAATAGGTAGGTGCTAGCACTTTAGAATTTAAGCTGTGATACCTGCGTGGGACCTTGAATTTCTTAACAACAACAGAGACACATTTGGTTTTGGAAGAAAATGAGGAGTGGATGACCTGTTTTCTGGCAGTAACTTAAAAAATGTTGTATTGATTTTTTTTTTTTCGTATATGTTTAGACAGTCAAGATAGTAGTTGCTGTAAAAAAGGGCACCTGTGTGAGTTAAAACAGAGCTTGAATCACTTTAGTCTACCAAGAATCTATAAGTCTGTGTACAAAGCGACAGTGGAAGCCCCTTTTATTATGTTTGCACAAAATCCTAGCACGTTCCTGACTAAAATGGGAGTAAGCTATTCAAGGGTAAGTAAGGGAGAACAGAAGCTAGATGTACCTTTATGGGGAAAAAACAAATAATCCTGATTTTTCTTTTTATTCTCTTTAGTTCTTGAGTTTGAACACGTTTATCTTGAAAATCTGCCGTGTGCTTCGATGTATGAACGCAGCTATATGCACAGAGATGTCATTACACACGTAGCATGTACTAAGTAAGTGTCTTTTTTTCCCCACTGTATCTTATTGCCAAAGATGTATTTTTGTACGTGCAAAGGAAAGGGCTTACTGAGAAGCAACGTAAAAAATGTTTAAACTAGACTAAAAGAGAGTCTTAAAATCCTTGTTGCAATGTGCAATATGTACAGGAATAAGAGCAAGTGACTGCATCTGAAAGATTGAGGAGATAGCTTTCTTCTCTTTTTTATGTGTGTGTATATACACACACACATATTAGTATATAGTAACTACTGTCAAACCAGACCTAAAGTAGGAGTAATATTTACATAGTCAAAAAGGATAGTGTTATATATTTCTTCAATTCAGGCTGCTGACTTTTCATAGATTAACCCAGAGTGCATCAAAATACTTGTGCGCTTTTCCGGGCGTTGTAGTACCCATTCAGACAGAATGTCGCAGTAATTTGTTTAAAGCTCATTCTCTACACAGTGTCAATTATAGTGCAAATTACTGTCCCAGAGTGGTGTGAAAGTGCATGATAGGTGAGGGTTTTTTTGTTGTTGTTATTTTTCTTTTGTAATTGTAGGACAGATTTTATCATAACAGCCAGTCATGATGGACATGTAAAATTCTGGAAAAAAATAGAAGAAGGGATTGAGTTCGTTAAACATTTCCGGAGTCACCTGGGTGAGAATTTGCTTTTTCTTCTCTAAAGGACCTCACTTTTTCCTCCCCCTTCCTCATAGTCCTTTGAAGAGGGAGTGGAAGTAAAGAGGAGAGGGGTTCTGGGATTCATTTACTGTAGTTGGGGATTAAATGATATCTACCTATCTTCCTTCATTCCCCTGTCCTGTAACATTTTGCTTCCAAACTGCAGGAGGGGTAGGGTGAGAATAAAACCTGTGGGACTCCTTCTGCACAGATGCCCTACATCCTCTGCCATTGCCTTGTGCCCCACCTGGGGGAGAATGTCTAGGACATGAAGAAACTGACTATTTAAAAATAAGTGAGCAAGGTACATAACAGACTTCATAAAATCCAGAGAAGTTTAAACAGATGTTACTTTAAGTAAGGTTACCTTCGTCCCTTATCTTTTTTTTTTCGTTTTTTTTTCCCCTGCAGTATGGAAAAAAATGGTTATTTTCATCTGGAGTTATTGCAACTGTAGAGTAAATTCTGCATCATTGTCATAACTATATCAGCTGAATTGCAATTAATGAGTACACATAGCTCTTCTATACTATGCTAATAGGCTGGACAGAAAATGAGGTTCTCATTGTTACTAGAAATGATCATATTCCTAATGGAAAAAACCAGTTTGATGTGCAGACTGTTACAATAAGAAAAATATTTAATAACAGCTAGTAAAAGTACTGTTTCTTTTTAGAGTTAGAAAAAAATGTTATTGTGGGTTCTTGATCTTAACTATCAGCTTCTCTTTAGATACAGAAAGAAAATGTGAGAACAAAGGCTACCAAGCAAAAATAAGTATTGTGAAAAACTTACGGAAGGCTCAATTGCAGAGTAATTTTGAGTCTTATGTGTGTTAATAGCAAGGCTGTAGTAGTCTACAGAGTTCTGCTGCTTTTTCTCTTTTGACAGATGCAAGCTGAAGAGCACATAATTTTTTAACATATTATAATATTGTCAATTTTTTCAAATGAACATTTTAAATGAAAATAGTTGCCATTTATAATCTTTCATTTATGTTTATGGTAAGCCATTCGTTATCATGAACCTGATTCTAAACAGTGGTAGGAATCAAAGCGATGTTTTGTGCAAGTTTTTGGTGGTTGGTTTTTTTTCTTTTTAATTAAAGTCAGGTAGTTTTTTAAGTCAAAAAGGTGGAGAAACAGCTGAGAAACAGGTTTAAACCTCTGTAAGTTTTTTCCTGTGGAATATTGAGATGAAGGATGTCCCTTTCCTGTGTCTTAATGGTACATTAACTTTTCTGATAGGTGTTATTGAGAGTATTGCTGTTAGTTCGGAGGGGGCGCTATTCTGTTCAGTTGGTGATGACAAAGCAATGAAGGTGTTTGATGTAGTCAACTTTGATATGATCAACATGCTGAAACTTGGGTAAGTTACTCAGTTCTTGAATATGTTTGGAATTATAAATGGGGTTATTTTGCTAAGAGGTAAGTCAGTAATTCAGGGTTTTTTTGAGGTCATCTCTCCCCCCCTCTTTCATCCCCCCCAGTCAGATGAAGCTGAGTAAGCTGCATTGTCTGAAATGCATCCAGTGGCTGGAGACTGCCTGTCTGAGTTGAAAAATTTATGAGACTGTATGCAACAGTACATGCATGGAGTAGGTCTATGCCTTCCCACAGTGTCAAATACTGTGCACCAAGATGTGGTGGTTCTCAAAATACTTGGCTAGGCATATTTTTTTTCTCCTGTTGTTTGGCACTGAATTTAAAAATTATAGCCGAGTAATATTTCATGTAAAGAAGGAATTTGGCCTGTATCTCTTGTCTCACTTGTTGTCATAGGGATAGAAATTTCGTTGTCCTGTTAGAAAGAATGTTTTCATAAGTCTTGCTGTTGTGGGATTTCTGTAGTTATACGGTATGTAGCTAAAGAATCTGGGAGAAATAGGAGTGGATGTTACTGGTATTACGACAATACCAGAGGAAAACGAGGGTGGGTTTGCAGGTTTGGAGGATCAATGAATACTGTACCAAGAATGGTAGAAATATTGATTCTTCCACAAGCCTTTTAAAATGGGAAAATGTATTCCTCATAGTCTAATATTTCTTGGTTAATTGTGAAACTGAATAGAACTATTAAGTCGGGGGGGAAAAAAAAAGCTTTTCAGAATGCCTATACAAAAGTTTGTTATCTGCTTTGCTGGTTATAGTTCAATATCGTGCTCTGGATGATGTACTTAGACTATAGGAATTGATTCCCTCTTGGCTGTCTGCTGTGGAAAAATTCCAGTTAGCCTTAGTCTTTTGTTTTTGCTGGTCTTTTCTGCTTAGCAGACCTGTATTGTCACTATGAAATTGGTAAAATCATATGATGAAATAAAATTCATTTAATATTGAGAAAACTTAATTTGATGTTGCAACAGAAGGTGCCTTTTTTTTTTTTCTGTTCGAGAATTCAGGGAGAACAGAGGTGGAATTTAAATTAATTTTGCTTCAGGGATACCTGAGAATGCCAGCTGTAACCTTTTTTCTATAGTATGTTCCCTGATTTATCTTTAAATAGATTTTTTTTTTTTTAACCTCAGTAATCAAGACCCTCCTTTCCCCATATATTTTTTTTCCGAGATAATTGGGTTTTACCTGAAGTGAACTCTTTAATGAAGAGAGCAGTATACAGCTGTAATATAAACATTGTCCTGAATAGCCTTTTAAAACTTAACGCTTATCACTTTATCTTCTGCATTGGTGCTTATTGAACAGATAGTTTCTGTTGACCTGCCTGAGATTTTTTTGTGGCTGTTTGCTCAGTCTTGCAATAGTTAATGTGGAATAAGTTCTGTGTGGTCTTTTTGGCTCACATTGTCTCGCATTGCCTGATTTGATAGCTGTATGTGGGTGTATTGCAGGGTTGATTGATTATCTTTGTCTCAAATTCTTCACATCCTTTCAGTTCTAACTAATCTATACAGCATGGCTATCTGCAGGTCCCCTTTATGCTTCCGTCAGTGATCTGGAGAAGGGCGGCTATTTCTGCAGCAAATTTGGATAATGATGCATAGAGCAATGGGACATCATATTTATTTATTTATGTATTTATTTGATCCTAGTCTTTCTAGTGAACCTGAGACAAATGTTCTGGTTATGTTTCTCTTCATGCAAATCTTTATAAGACAGGCACTGAAAATCCAAATTATTAGTGTCTGTCATTTGTCAGTCCTTCAGTATCTGTTCATTTGACTTGTCAAAGGATACTAAACTAAATAAGAGTTTCCTTTGGAGACTATAATTTCTTTGTCATTTAGTTACTGAGTTCTGGTTCTCAAAATCTTTGGTTACAGACTTTTTTAAAAACAGACATAACTTACATTATTGACCATACCTCTGGCTTGTTTTGTAGAATGTGTTTTTGCTAGTAGCAAATGAGTTCCTTCTTAAATGCATTCAGAACGCTTATTGAATGTAGGGTGATTTGTCTTCATTTTACTTACATCATTTTTTAGCTTTGGGTTTGGTGTTTGTGGGTTTTTTTGGTAAGACCTAGTTGAATTTTCTATAAGTGCAAAAGTGCAGTTGTCCTGGTTTCGGCTGGGATAGAGTTAGTTTTCTTCATAGTAGCTAGCATAGTGCTGTGTTTTAGATTTAGTACCAGAAGAATGTTGATAACACACTGATGTTTTTAGTTGTTGCCAAGTGGTGTTGAGACTACTCAAGGACTTTTTGAGCTTCTCCTGCTCGGCCAGGTGCATAACAAGCTGGGAGGGAGCACAGCCAGGACAGCTGACCCAAACTGACCAAAGAGCTATTCCAAACCATAGAACGTCATGCTCGGGGGGGGGGAGGTGGTTAGCTGGTCGGTCGGTTGCGGGGAGAGGGGTCGCTGCTCAGGGAGTGATCACTGCTCGGGGCGGGCTGGGCATCGGTCGGCGGGTGGTGAGCAATTGCATTGTGCATCACTTGTTTTGTATATTCTGTATATTCTGTTACCATTCTCATTATGACTATTATTATTATTTTCTCTTACTAAACTGTCTTTATCTCAGCCCACGGCTCTAACCTTTTTTCTCCTTCCTGATTTTCTCCCCCATCCCACAGAGGGAGGGGGGAGTGAGCGAGCGGCTGCATGGTGCTGAGTTGCCAGCTGGGTTAAACCCACGACAGCAGTTGTCGTCTTCTGCACTGAAACATTAATCACTTAACAGATAGAAGAGAAATGCTATAGAGTCATAGAAATTGAGTAATAATCATTAATGTCACTTGCACTATTTAGCTGGATTTCCATCCTTATTGTTCTTTTATACCCACCCTCTACCTTCGCTTTCTATCACAGCTTCTTTATAAAACAATATGGAAGCAATAGAAATTGGCTGAGCCATCCACTGAATTGTGTTGGTTGGAAAAGCTTGGTTATAACACTGTTGAATTTTAGCAAGACTAGTAAAGTTCAGAATTTGCTTCTGATATTTGATTTCAAGTTTATAACATAACTCAATTCTTATCTAAGTAACACAAGCCCTTATTTTTATTTTCTTTTTTGTTTTCTCCTTCCACTCTTTGTTGCAGCTACTACCCTGGTCAGTGTGAGTGGGTATATTGCCCTGGAGATGCCATATCTTCTGTTGCAACATCTGAGAAGAGCACAGGAAAAATATTCATATATGATGGACGAGGAAATAACCAGCCACTTCATGTTTTTGATAAACTCCATACATCCTCTCTTACTCAGATACGACTGAACCCTGTCTACAAAGTAGTAGTGTCTGCTGACAAGTCTGGAATGATAGAGTACTGGACTGGCACTGCTCATGAATATAAATTTCCCAAGAATGTGAACTGGGAGTATAAAACAGATACTGATCTATATGAATTTGCTAAATGCAAGGCATACCCATCCAGTATAAGTTTTTCACCTGATGGCAGGAAAATGGCCACTCTTGGGTCTGACAGAAAAGTTAGAATTTTCCGGTTTTTGACGGGGAAGCTGATGAGAGTCTTTGATGAATCTCTGAGTGTAAGTTTGGTCTTCCTTCTCTTTTTTTGAGGCTTTTTCTCTACTTACTTGAATATATTTACCAGCACATTCACCAAAGTTATCTGTTTCTAAAGCTGAGCTTCCTTGCTATACTTCTCTTGCAGAAAGGTTTTTCATGTTCTCTTCCTTGTCTCTTGTATTGCCTTGCCCCCAAATTATTTCTTACTGATTCATGTTGGTTACATAGTGAAACTGAGTTGTTGATTTTCATCTGTGTTTTCATACTGCTAGATTACTTTTTACTAGAAAGCAGCAATGGAAAATGCCCATTTCAAATAATAGAATAATGAATTAAATATGTCATCTTCTAAGAAATTTGTTAGACAGCTTCACGCTTCCCTTTCTTTGCTTAAGCCTAGTACTACAACGTGCCTACTGAGTTGTTAAAATAGAGTATTGCTTGTATTTATTAATTCTTCCGTTAAGTTTGAGTGGAGTAGTCTCACTTGAATTCTTGTATTTGCTAAACATGTGGATCAGTGTTTTGCCGGATCAAAAGTTTAAAATATGTTCATATAATAGTGATTTTTTTTTTCTTTTTTTTCTGTAGATGTTTACTGAACTTCAGCAGATGAGACAGCAACTACCAGACATGGAGTTTGGCCGACGTATGGCAGTTGAGCGTGAGCTGGAGAAAGTGGATGCAGTAAGATTAATTAATATAATTTTTGATGAAACTGGACACTTCGTTCTCTATGGAACAATGTTGGGCATTAAGGTCATAAATGTAGAGACTAACAGGTAAGTTCCAATGATAGACATTGAGATAAATACGTTTGTTTCAAAGTCTACATTCAGTCAAATTTATAGTGTATTTAAAACTTGGTGTGACTGTGGGGGTCTTAATCTTTTGTTGTTGTTACTTGGGAGCCTTACGTTAGACTGTAGATAAGATATTCCTGTGCTTTTTAATGAGTTGTTGCCATTTAAAGCTTAGTAAAATGAGGAGAAAACATGGCAGGCATATTTGTATTAAAAATGTGTAATCAAGTCATCTCTGGCTAACTGGATGTGATAACATGAAGTAAATGTGGGTCATGCAGTTGGGATTTTATCCATAAGGAGGCTGACTGGTACATTAAGTAGCAAGTTTGAATAGAGAAGCATCAAAAATAACTAGTAAAAAACTATTTTGAGAGGGTTTTGGCACTTTGCTTTGATGTTGCAGTCAGAAAGGAGACATTCTCTGACCATGAGCAGCTAACAGTATTTACACCTTTCTATGTCATGTACTTCAGGTGTATTCGTATCTTGGGAAAACAAGAGAACATCAGAATGATGCAGTTAGCTTTGTTCCAAGGAGTAGCAAAGAAACATCGTGCTGCAATCACTATAGAGATGAAGGCATCTGAAAATCCTGTTCTCCAGAATATCCAGGCAGATCCGACAGTAATCTGCACAGCTTTTAAAAAAAATAGGTTTTACATGGTATGTGTGGTTTCTTTTTAAAGAACTCCATTCTTGTATTAATGTTTTCTCTGTGTTATTTTTTCTTTCTGTCCTTGCACCTTTCCAGTGCTTTTTGTCCTGAGTATTTGCGAACACAACTTTTCCAGAGGAGTCCCTTTATATTGCAAGTATATTCTAGGATTTTTAGCTTGAACTAGCTCTAAATTGACTAGAAACAGCTTTAATTTTTTCATTATTGCTCAAGCAGTTAAGTAAACTTGGATGGGTTTGGCTGTCTAAATTACAGTTCTCCAAGAAGGTTATATGCTTTTTTTGTGGTTGAAAAAAAGAACTTACATAAGCACATCTAAAAAACTTAACCAGATCTTACACTGATAAAGAAACAATAATTAACTGTATGTATAAAGTATGTAATAAAAAGTAATTAATTTCAGAGTAGCATTGGGACTCGGTAGCACCAAGGACCTTATGGGCAACTAAGACGAGTCATCTTCCTGTTCACAATTTAGGTTTTAGGTGAGATGTAATGAATAAGCCAACAGACCAGCAGTTCCACAGTAGTTAGTAGTTGTTCTGAGATGTGATCACCATGGAGGTTAGAGATCAGTCTGTCTGTTGTTACTTGTGCTTGAATTTGATTGTGTATACTTTCTAAAGGTTTGCGTGGTTAACGTATAGTATATGATGGAATATACTACTCTGAACAATTTGACAAGTGAGGAGGAAAAGTTAGACAAAATCTGGAAACATTACTCACTGTTAGAGAAAACATGACTGTATGCATGCAGAAAGATTAGTGGTTGTCATTTGATACGCTCAGTGAAGCAGATGCTAGTGTACTGATATATTTAATCTGTTTTCCTATAAGTACTACAAAAACTGCATTTCTGAGATTTCTCCTGTTTTGAGTAAATTTGCTGATCCTCTGTAGTTTTGTATTAATACAGTATTGGAACGAGAGGATTTAGTTTGACTTTGTAGTGAAACTAAAAGTTCTGTGATGAAACCTGCCAGTTTTGTCTGAATATAACAGAACAAATCGATACTCTCAGTATTTTTTTTTTCTTTAAAAGAAAAGATGCTGAACAACTGTGGGCTTTCTGTTGAAAAAGGGAGGATGTTTAAAGACAACAGATCATAAAGTTACTTGGATTTACATGTAGTTGTACTGGAATTTGTGACTGTGGAAATGCTGGTAACGCCCAACACTGAAATGCAAGAGTAAATGTCTATGGATTCTCTTCCTACATTTCAAATCTAGTTGGGTGTTTAGCATGTTGAGTAATCACATTGATATCTTGGGTGCAGAGCAGTGTGTAAGATAAGGGGAAAAAAGAGAAAACCAAACAGTTAACCTTCTGTTCTCTTGTTCTTCAGTTTACTAAACGTGAACCAGAAGATACGAAGAGTGCAGATTCCGACAGAGATGTGTTTAATGAGAAACCTTCTAAAGAAGAGGTCATGGCAGCCACTCAGGCAGAAGGTCCCAAAAGAGTTTCAGACAGTGCCATCATCCACACAAGCATGGGAGATATTCATATCAAGCTTTTTCCTGTTGAGTATGTATTTGGCAGTTTTTCTGTTACTTTGTTTTTCCTTCCTTGTGTGTTTTTTTTGGTGGCAGTATCCAAGACTTACATTTCAAGTTAGGAATAATTCTTTTCTTCCCCTTTTTCTACTGTCCTTGCTTTCTGACAGTTTCTTTATACATCAAGCTAGGAACGTGACTCTTGACAAACACAGATAAAGTAAGGTAAAAATAGGCCTAAATAACAGTTGGGGGCATGGGATTTTTTTTAAATGATTTCTGCTTTCATTTAATTATTGGTTATGGGGGGATTATTCCTTTCTTGACTTTTGTTCTTTCTTTAAACTGCAGATGTGGCTAGGTCATGATGCTCTTCTGTGTAAGCTACATATTACTGTGAGGCAGTGCTGTTGATGATTCCATCTTGAGAAAGAATGATTATATTGGCAGCAGCAGTAGATTTGCCAGTAGGTCTGTGTAAGCCAGAGGAATAGTAGTTTGCAACTTCCAAATGTGACCATTGTACCACGTTTTATGTTACTGCAGCTCCTTCAAGAGCAACATAACATTTATACTAGTATAAATTAGTATATTGTAGTAAATTATATACCAGTTAGTGCTCTATATATCCCAAACGAGGCATGTAATTGAAAGAGTTTTATGCTAGACAATTGCTAAAGTTAGTCAGCATCTCTCCTTTGTGATGCTAATATATGCAAAGATTTTGTTATAAACCAGTAAATTTATATAATACATTGCTATACATTGAAACTTAAAACTGATTAAGTGTAGCCCATGCTTCTCCAAAATCAAGTTCATGTTTTGTCATAAGCACAGGTAAGGCAACACAACCTCAGTTCTACCCTGCAGGGCTGCTAGTCTCTCATTGCTCTCTTCACCAGTGTCTCCTTGCATCGGGCCTGAGTTTCTGAGCTTTGAATTTAAAATCTCTTTAAGACAAATGTGATTAAAATTTAAAGAAGAACATACAGGATGTGCCCTTAAATCTTTGGCTGAGTGCTCAAGGAATAAAGGTGTGAATGACTATACACAGCAGTAACTGGGACTAATCCTGTCTGTTCCATTAGTTATGCCATTGGTGCTCTGTTTCATGAGACAGTTTAGAGAATTGCCAAGCTTAAGCTGATGTTCCTTGTCACAGCTAAAGTAACTACAGCTACGGACTTTCAACTTGGCTATTTTATCATTTGCTGGGAAAATGTGCGTGACTGTGTAAACCTGACAACTGATCCATTTATAAAACCAGTGAAAGAGCTATCGCAAACCATTTTCACTGTGGTAGCAAATCTCTCGGAAGTAAAAAATCAAGTCACAAAGGTGAAGTGGTTTTTTGGTTTTTACCTTTTTATTCCATCAACAGTAATATTCCACCTCTTCACCCTGCTTCCAAACAATGTTTGTGAGTAGTTTCAGAGGGGGATAGCTGACTGCTGACTGCGAGTTCTGTAATATTATAACATTGTATTTTTAGATCTTACTTCTGATATGCAGCACTGGACACCTTACATGTATAGCTTAATAGAATTACAGAGGTAAAAGGGTGAAAAACTTTCTGCTTACGGAGCATACACCCCTTAATGGATTTTGTAAATAAACTATGTAAGTAGAAAGCTGGGGAAGTAATCAGTGGTGCCTTGAACTAGGCTTTGAGAAAACAGATTTGGTTCCTGACTATTGTGGCCTACCTCCAGCTGGCAACTAAGCCCCACACAGCTGCTCACTCACTCCCCCTGCTCCCCCCCGCAGTGGGAAGGGGGAGAGAATCAGAAGGGTAAAAGTGGGAAAACTTGTGGGTTGAGATAAAGACAGTTTAATAGGTAAAGCAAAAGCTGCACATGCAAGCAAAGCAAGGGATTCATTCGCCGCTTCCCATGGGCAGGCAGGTGCTCAGCCATCTCCAGGGAAGCAGGGCTCCATCACATGTAACAGAGACTTGGGAAGACAAATGCCATCACTCTGAATGTGTGTCCCCCCCCTCCCCTTCCTTCTTCTTCACCCATCTTTAAATACTGAGCATCACATCCTGTGGTATGGAATACCCCTTTGGTCAGTTGGGGTCAGCTGTCCTGGCTGTGTCCCCTCCCAATTTCTTGTGCACCCCCAGACTCCTCGCTGGTGGGGTGGGGTGAGGAGCAGAAAAGGCCTTGGCTCTGTGTAAGCCCTGCTCAGCAATAGCTAAAACATCCCTGTGTTATCAACACTGCTGCTGCCTTCCTGTGTAATCATGCAACTTTGTACTCAAATTTTTTGCATCCAGCTCTGGATTTGAGGTGGTGAGGATTTGCTTTTTTCGTTATTTGATGAAAGCCCTTTTTACAATGTGCTGAAACACTGCTCAGTACAGGATCTTAGTCTCAGCTGAAATCTTCATGGCGTTGCCATCGTACAATTAAGTATTTATTCTAGCCTGTATTTTCTGTTATATTATCTCAGGTGCCCCAAAACAGTGGAAAACTTCTGTGTGCACAGCAGAAATGGTTATTACAATGGACACATATTTCACCGAATCATCAAGGTAACTTGTAAAAAGTTAGGTTTTTTGTTGGTTTAGATAATGCACCTTTGTGGTTAGCCCTCTCTGTTAATCCTTTCATTTCCCTTTTGCACAAAGGATTTCTGGAATGGCTTCAGAGTTCCCTGTAAAGTCTGAACAACTCCGAGGTTCTAAACAGCTTTATCACATACTGAAGTTGTTCAGTAGTTGTTCTGCAACTGACAAGGTGGAAGAAATCTGAAAACTGAGAGAAAGATCAATTCAGCAATCCTGCTTGAACTAAGACTTTGTTTCATGCCAGAAGGCATTTCTTCTAAGGCTGCTTTATTTCTGTTGTGCCAGAATCAAGCAGATACAGCCTAAGTGTTTGCAGAAGGTACAGATAGTCAGGTTTCTGTGCTTCACTAGCAGGAACAGTGTGAGTAAGCTTGTTTCTTCACAAGTACTAGTTTTGTCCCTTATCCATAGCATTTTAACACATGGTGTTGAAAGGTTTGAAGTAAATTTGAAAAAAAATGTCACCTGGCATGAAACACTTTTGCTTACTTACTCTATGCAATGATGTAATAACATTTAATTTTTATGCAGGGTTTCATGATCCAGACTGGTGACCCAACTGGTACAGGCATGGGAGGTGAAAGTATTTGGGGAGGAGAATTTGAAGATGAGTTCCATTCAACTTTACGACATGACAGACCATACACACTCAGCATGGCTAACGCAGGACCAAATACCAATGGATCCCAGTTTTTTATAACAGTAGTGCCAACTGTGAGTAATATTAAAAGCTCAATTTAAGGCTTGAGATGCTAACTAGATAGTAAAAATACATTTTTTTCTGATGGAAAAAGGAACACGTTAGTACTATCTGAATAATCTTTTCATGTTGTTTTGCAAATAGATGCTGCACACGATGTAGACTGTGTAGGCTTTGCTAATACCATCGTTTAAGGAAGGGAGAAGTATTTTTGTCAGTTGTGATCAAGAGGTCTTTTGCCTTTAGTTGGATTAAGGGCGATAGCAAATTTGTAGTAAATCAGACGTTTGCAATTGTGTATTACTAGGGTATTTTATGTTAATATACTTAGAATCATAGAATGTTTTGGGTTGGAAGGGACCCCTAGAGGTCATCTAGCCCAACCCCCCTGCAGTCAGCAGGGACACCGCTAACCAGATCAGGTTGCTCAGAGCCCCATCCAACCTGGCCTGGAATGTTCCCAGGGATGGGGCCTCCACCACCTCTCTGGGCAACCTGTTCCAGTGTTTCACCACCCTCATTCTAAAGAATTTCTTCCTTAGATCCAGTCTAAATGTACCCTGCTTCAGTTTAAAATCATTACCCCTTGTCCTGTCACAGCAGGCCCTACTAAAAAGATTGTCCCCGTCTCTCCTATAGGCCCCCTTTAGGTACTGAAAGGCCGCAATCAGGTCTCCCCGCAGTCAGGTCTCCCCGTAGCCTCCTTTTCTCCAGACTGAACAAGCCCAACTCTCTCAGCCTGTCCTCATAGGAGAGGTGCTCCAGCCCTCGGATCATTTTTGTAGCCCTCCTCTGGACCCGTTCCAACAGTTCCATGTCCTTCTTGTGCTGAGGGCTCCAGAGCTGGACGCAGTACTCCAGGTGAGGTCTCACCAGAGCTGAGTAGAGGGGCAGAATCACCTCCCTTGACCTACTGGCCACGCTTCTCCAGAGTACGGTTGGCCTTCTGGGCTGCCAGCGCACATTGCCAGCTCATGTCCAGCTTTTCATCCACCAGCACCCCCAAGTCCCTCTCGGCAGGGCTGCTCTCCATCCTTTCTTCCCCCAGCCTGTACTGATACCGAGGGTTACCCCGACCCAGGTGCAGGACCTTGCACTTGGCCTTGTTGAACCTCATGAGGTTCACACAGGCCCACCTCTCCAGCCTGTCCAGGTCTCTCTGGATGACAGCCCATCCTTCTGGTGTGTCAACTGCACCACTCAGCTTGGTGTCATCTGCAAACTTGCTGAGGATGCACTCGATCTCGCTGTCTAAGTCATTGATGAAGATGTTAAAGAGCACCGGTCCCAGTATGGACCCCTGAGGGACACCACTCGTCACCGGTCTCCATCTGGACATCGAGCCATTGACCACTACCCTCTGGATGCGACCATCCAGCCAGTTCCTTATCCACCAAACAGTCCATCCATCAAATCCATAGCTCTCCAATTTAGAGAGAAGGATGTTGTGGGGGACCGTGTCAAAGGCTTTGCAGAAGTCCAGATAGATGATGTCCATTGGTTTTCCTTTGTCCACTGATGTTGTCACACCATCATAGAAAGCCACTAGGTTTGTTAGGCGGGACTTGCCCTTGGTGAAGCCATGCTGGCTATCTCGAATTACCTCCCTGGCCTCCATGTGCCTTAGCATAGCTAACAATTGAAAAGGTGAGTTTAAATGCATATGAATATGTATTAGCTACACTCTAATATTTACTTACATGCTAATATTTACATGGTGTTAGGTTTCATAGTCTGAACATATAAAGGCCAGGTCAGTCTCTTTCAGGTTTGGTACCTAACCTACATGGCTGCTTTTTATTTTAATATGCTTTTTTCTTTCTCCTGTGCTCTCTAACAGCCATGGCTGGACAACAAGCATAGCGTGTTTGGACGGGTGACTAAAGGAATGGAAGTTGTTCAGAGAATCTCAAACATAAAAGTTAATCCCAAAACTGACAAGCCCTATGAGGATATCAGCATCATTAATATCACAGTGAAGTAAGCCAGGAGTTGAAGGTTCCAGCTTAAAGCAGAAAAAAATTGGCACAGTGGGACACAAAAAGAACAGAAACATTTTTGATAATTCCTAGATACAAGAAGTGCCAGGACAGAGCAATCACCAGTCCTACTATTTTTAATGTACCTAAAGTGCCCTAAGTCTGTATTTCTGGTAACTTTCTATTTTAAAGTAAAAACATCTGCATGTTTCTTACGAAGTCTGCTGGTATTCTTGCATCTCTTCTGTGCAAGACTGAAGATAAAAACCCATGCCATGTTTCATGATCGTGATTTTATAAAATGGAATCAGGGTATAGTTTGTAACTTTTTCATGTTTATTTGCATCTTTCATATTTAAGTAATCCTTTTCACAGTACTGAAATCTTTGACAGAGGAAGAGGTCAGAAGTCCTAAGCTGAGTAAACTCTTCAATCACATGTAGATGCATCAAAAATTAGGTTAAGGTATGATCCTGTTTGCTATGATAAGGTACATAATCTACCTCTGCTCTTTAAAAATGGTTGTGTAGGTGTCTTCTGTGTCCAAGAGCAACGATCAGCTTTTGGAATGCCAGTGTATAAAGTCCTATGCATCCTGCTTGGCACTGCCAATAATGTTTTTTTTCTTTCCATGTTTGCTGTCTTCATTATTTTAGCCTAGGGAGTCTGGGTAAAAATGAAGCCAGATACAAAGTCCTACAAACATTACTACTTCTAATGAATACTTGGTTTAAAATAAATGATGGCTATCATCTCAACTAAGCTTTCATCAGGTATTTCTGATGAAATGTCAGACTGTGGCGAATCTCTGGCTAGATAAGGTCCTGCTACTATGTTGGGCAGTTATGTCTTCTCTAAGTACAGTAACATTAACTGTTTATGTTCACATAGCAGCACAGCACTCATACAACAATGAGGAGTTTACAATTCTGGTAACTACATTCATGAAATAAGATGAGATGCATGCTAATTGCATTCAGGCCCTGCTACTACTAGGAAGCTTATCTTCAGTGATCAATAAGAAAACTTCTATTCTGAGATGACCTTAACAAAAAAAAAAAAAGCCAAGTTTATTAAAATTCACTCTCAAAGTTTTAGATACTTTTATTGAAAAGAATTCATTTTTTGGGCAACTCAAATTGCAGCAGCTCATTAATTGTTTCCACTAAAAGAGCCATTTCTTTCAAGAAATCTTTACATAACTTCCACACCTACTCCAGCAGTTCAGAATCAGAACTACCTCAGGACAAAACCCTCACGTACCACACAGTCCACAATAAAACTGAAGGTAGCATACAGTAAGACCATATCAAGTGATAAAACATTATTTTTCAGTTAGCCTAGACAGAGCTGAGATTCTTTGAAGAAAGCCACAACACAGTCACAGGAGCTTGTATTTACTTAATTTCACAGTTAAGTCAAAATCCTATGAAAAGTTAATCAGTCTTTTCAAATATTCCTCAAAGTAATGCTTGAGTGAGTTCTAGTCGAGGAACTATTCCAATTACATATTGCGTAAGTCAGTACACTAAAAACTAAAGTTCAGTAAAACTGGTAAAACAAGCTTAAATTTATAACTGAAGCAGTTTATATGTAGTATTAATTTATAATACAAATAAACCTCTTTGTGTACCTGTTTACACTGAAGAGTTCACAGACAAATGCAATACTTTCACAGTTACTTCAAGTTATCTTAAATAAATTCCATTAAAAAACACTTTTATGGTAGCATTCCACATGTCACAAGCAATCCTTTGTACTCAAAAATATGCATGAATGAGAATTTTTCCTCTGCCTTCAAATGTAATGTTGCAAAAAAACACCAAACCAGTCATCTTGAACATTTTGAAGTAGGAGTAGATCTATATACTAAAAGGCTTGTACAACTGAAGCATAAGCCAGCTAAAATAAAATTACAGAATCAGGATTTTTCTAAAGAATGCATGTCTTCTCTGTTAAAAATATTCCAGGAAAAGGTACCTACCATACTTAGCAGAATTTGTTCGTATTTTAAAAAGAGCTAAGAAGGGACAGTCAGCCCTAACTAGGTCTGGGACTGGTCTGCAGTGTGGGTTAAGCAGATGCTCAAGTCAGAGCAGCCAGCTGTCTGTTGTGCAGGAAGTTACAGGCGGGGAAGGATGAACACTTTTCAGCTCAGTAGGTGCAAGAAAACACCTTTCACTCCATTGTAAACTGTTCCCAAATCTATCAGATTCTTAGTACCTATGTACATACATAGGCGTTGAAGCCCATTTCACAAACATTTAACTACTTCAAAGCTTAGTGTTCTTTCAGCTACTATTCAAGTCGTTAGACTTGCTGAATCTGAAGCTGCATTTAACACCATTTACGTGAAATTTAAGTGAGAAAACTACAAATAAGTGTCATTGAGGAAGTAGTTAACTGCTTCCTCTTGAAGAAAAGTGCAAACATACTAAATTATTTGTTTATACATTCTTGGCTTAGCTAAGGTATGTAGTGGGAAAACAACATAAAATTGATAATATTACAGTGAAAGCCATAGCCACAGATAATGGAATATACTTTTTGCCAGGTGAGGTTCAGAGCTCTCACAGGCAAAGATGCTTTTTTTAGTGTGGCAAAAATATTTACCCTTCTGTGAAATGACACTGCTCACTTCCACTCCCTGGTTCTCCCGATTCACCTCTACTACAGTAAGAAAAGTGATGATATGGAGTTTTGATCTGTTGGCCATGCTCTTCGTAGCTCCCCTACTGACATGAAGAGGTCCACAGCATGGCTTCTTCAACTGGCAATGGCTGTGCACTTAAAAAGAGGGCAGAAGATTCTGGTGCACATACCAGACAGATAAAATTGTTAGCAGAGTTGCATGTGCAGCAGAAAAAGACACATCACTAAGTCATTGCAACCTTGTCTAAATTTAAACAGTGCTACACCCATATTTCAGGGGTTTGTGAATGAGTAATCTTTGAAAATAGAGGCGTAGGTGACAGTTCCATGTAGAAGATGCAGTAAGAACTGAAAATCTAAATACGGAAGGTTTATATCACATTTTACCATCTGCTCTTCTAAGTAAGAGTTATAATTAGTGTACACTGCTTTTACATTGTATTATTTAATATTTTAAGGCCACTAACTTAATCTGGAAGCATGACTTCTACATAAGAGTACATAGCTGGATTGACATTACACCACACTACTTCTTTAAGAAGTTTTTGGTTTTTTAAACTTCATTTGACTTCTTCAGGAGTAAACTTAATCTCTAAAGGCAAGGTTATGTCCTCAAGCACGCACAAAACACTTTCACCTCAATATCACTATAGTCTGTCCACAAATAATTTAGCATGTGTACAATTAATAAAATACCCAACTAACCCCCCCCAACTAGAAAACCACTAACTAAACAATGCCACAGCCCCTAGCCCTGCAACGCTGTTCCCCATTTTCAGCTTTCTTTGCCCAGTTATGCTGCCTTCTGGTAACAAACAGGGAAGCTAATAAATAATGGGGGAAACATTTTCTTTTTGTGGTGTATTTGCATGTCATTTTCAATGCCACCTTTAGATGAATGCATTCTTTAGATATTAAAGAGTAGCACCATTTTTTTCTGTCCAATAAACAGAGCTGGCTATTCTAGTAACTTGACATGGATTTTGGAATAGTTTCCCGGGAAAGTATTTCTAAACCACTCAGAATTTTTCTGACACCAATTAACCACTGTAACCTTGTTACAATTATTGGATGAACTCCAATGCATATTTTATCAGGGAAGAATCTTAAATTGTAATAACCAATTTCACAAAGAAGTTTCAAGGCACCCTTGTAATGAGCCCATTCCATTACTTGTAAATGTATCAAATTTCAAAAACACTGTAACAGCACAAGTATACTGAACCAATTATCCAATCTAGGATAAAGGCTTATATTTTTCTGTAACCACCAAGTTAAATAGAGTCCCCTCTTCAGACAGCAGACCTGGCTACAACATCCTAAATCGTGCAAACAAAACAAAACAGTGAACCACAACCTTAAATTGCAGCTGCTGTAAAATTAAGCTACATCCAGGACGCCAGCAGCCACTAACTGCCTCGAAAGCCAGTCCAATCCTTCATAAAGTCCTGTACCGCTTCGGGCATCACAACCCTGAATATACCAGCTACGGCCACAGCAGAGTTTGTGGAGACTCAGTAGTTCTGTGATTTCTTCCACTGAAAGTGCACCTGCTACATCCTGCAACAGAATCAGATACAGAGACTCAATTATTGTTCAGTACAAGGTTTGAAACATTTTATTTTTACCCGATGGCTTGGACTGAAGCTCCAGATCACCTAAAAGCTTTCCAAACACAAAAGCCAAATAAAAGTTACGCACTTACTACTTGTTACCATAAAACAAAAACTGGTTGTTGAACCTACTAAGCACTCTTGCATCACTTATTTTAAGAGCTTTAAGAATAAGGAAAACATCTACGTTTTATGCTTTTTGATACACAAACTGAGGAAAAGAGTAACAGAGTGAAAAAAACGCACAAGTACCTGTTTATTAGCAAAGATCAACAGCAAGGCATCCCGCAATTCCTTCTCTGTAAGCAATTTTGCAAGCTCACTGTGTGCTTCACTGACCCTGTCTCTGTGACTGCTGTCAACAACAAACACAACCGCTACGAAAGAAAGAGATAAATGTTTTACACACATAAATGGCGTAAAATTAGCTTTCAGCTCACACTATTCTTTTTTCTAGCAGTCTTCTACGTGAAGTTTCTCAGCAACTTCAGTTTCAAATCCAGGAGGACTGAGAAATGCCTTACACACCTCTATGCTTTTGACAAAAATCTAGAATTCATCCTAAAACAGGGAAAGAAAGTACAGTTTTTTGCCTAGTCTAACATAAAGGCTGTGATATTTTTAACTACTTGGGTCTAAGACCCAAGACTAAGATTTACTATGTGTGGACTGAGTACCTCAGTTTAAACCATTTCTTGATCCATTTATATAATCAATTCCCACATGACTGTTCCAGTTTCCCTTAACTAGCTGTAAAATCTACAGATTCAGCCAATTCGATGCAGCTTCCTTCAGCTACAGACTACACCCTCTGGAGAAGATTGCCATGGACCCAACAAAGCAGCAGTAGATTTTACTATCCACTACAGAGAGTAATCAAGATGCCAGAAAGACTGGAGAGCCAAGGAGGCAGACCTAGAGGACATAATTTAAACTCACGGCTTCTGCAGTGAAAAAAACACCAATACCAAAACTAAACAAACCTTACTGCAGGTATGCACCAGGTTAGCTGCCTAGACTTGCTCGCCAAGATACAATTCTTCAAGGCAGACATGATTCCATGCTACTGGCATTGACACGGTAAGTTTTAAGAGGACAACAGAAATCCCAAAATACAGTTTTTAAAAGTTTGAGAAGATGAACAATTTAAAATGTTAAAGTTTGCAATGAAGGCTGAAATAATGCACAAAGTAGGCACATAAACTGATGTTTGTCATTCCTAAGTATTACAGATAATTCTGAATGAATTAATGAAGAGGAACCCCTTTCTAAATTGGAAAACAACTATGGAGGATTTACAGAAGGACAGCATGAATTTCTAAGTGGGCACCACTTAGATCAATGTTTTCAGAATCAGCAATCTACTCTATGACCAGATATTACATGGCAATACCAAGTCAGAAGTTACAGAACTTCGTAGAATTTTTTAAGTTGCCAAGTAAAGACTCCTAAAGGCTGAGTATTTTCATTTCAAGTGCTATTTAAATTTCATACCTGGCAAGTACTACTTCTCACTATGCAAGCTTTGGAACGCTGCACCTTGTCTGTTGTCAGCTAGAATCAGTTTACCAGAGATTCTAATTTTGTTTGGCTCCATAAACTGTCTGATGGATTTATGGAGAATGCACCTTTACCATGCAGCAGACACTATGACCAACTGGATTAAAATTTCTTCGCTCATGAATGTAGCAGCTGTACTTTGCAGTAGATGAACAATTTTCTACAGTTATAAATTATTTCTATTAATAATCTTTTTGGCTCTGAAATACAATCTAGAAGACAAAATACAGTTTAAGAGTTGTATCAGTCTCACCTTGTGTATTGAGATAATAATGTTTCCAC